GAACAGTCACGCCGTTAAACCTCTTGTCCCAGCAAGCGATTCTTCCTATTACGAGTGTCATTCCTTCCTACGCAAACCAGCAAGGTAAAAAACGTGTAGCTCAATGGTGACAGCGTTGGACTTGTATTTAACAAGTCGCATGTTTGAGCCTTAGATGATGCACAACCTGGGTTCGGGTATGCCTGACTTGTGACGACCACTAAGCCCGAAATAGCGGTTGCACTCTCCCTTATCTGTCTATCATACTAGCCGCTACGCGGCTGCTAGCTATGCTGTCGTGTGATCCCCTGCGCAAAACAGGAGAAATGAGTCCCGTAACCGACTCGTCAAGTTTTCTTTAGGGGTAAAACACATTCAGTACTGAGGCAAAACATGGACTTATATAACAACTTGATCGCCAAATTATGTAAACTGATTGTGAATAGTGTGTGCTTTTATTACAAATGTTTAAAGACATTGTGGACTATATTACTCTTCTAAAATTCAAGAACGTACATTAGCGACCCATTTGCAGATACGCTCAGCAGCATCGCAAACGGCCAGGGCATCACCAGATAGGAAGAGGACACGCTCGGTGGAATTGGGTAATTTATTCGGACTAAACGTTAACAAGCAACCGGTTTCCTATCCAAATTCAGAAAAAAAATATTTTCACGATGCCTCTTATCCAGATCTATAGAATAGATATGTATAAATTTCCAAAAAATAATACATATAATATAAACAATGGCGCAATATAATTCAGTAAATTAAAAATATATATCTCAAATTATACCTGTCTTATGCGTCTCACATTTCTGCCCTCCTTTCCCAGAATATATCCGCAAATTGATGATGGGAAGAGTGTCCGTAGCATAATTTTTGGAATTATTCGAAGATTGTTGAAATAACGTTCAGTCGGTTTCCGTTTGTGTCTAGCATCCTTTTTGAGAAATGAGAATTGATTCATCAGTTTTTTTGTTTAATAACGTTTGGATATGGTACATTTTTTATTAACTTTCTCCAAGTTATTTTTTATGATTCTAATTGAATGCCCCCGCGTAGACAATAGTCAGTCAGTGGGTTTAAAATTAATATAGTTCATAACCGTTATTTGTGAATAGAAAATGCAAAACGTAGTACAATGGGCCGTATACTTGACAGGTATCTTACCCACTCCAATTTGCGACAGAAGAGCTTGCATACGAGAATCACATCCTGTGGCTCTCCATAAATACTAATGATTCGTTCTCCAATGCCCTTCTCCGATATTTTTATCTTAGCGCCACTCTAATTAAAAATAAAACATTACGTTTTTGCATTACATCTAAAAGGCAAATGACGACACTAAACAGTGCAATCATCTAACATAAAAAATTATAAAACAGAAATCAGAAAATAAGTAAGGACGTACTTTTTCCCTGTATGTATTGATTGAATCCCCATTCTAAATGAGGGTTGTGTTAAAACAATAATGCTTACCTTTCCAATGATACTTCCAATTTCCTGAAAATAAATATAATTTTAGCATATTTATTCATCAAAAAAGCACGCAACTTTAAAATTATCGTTAAATATATGTAGTTGTTAATAATGCGATAATGTTCGTACTCCTTTTAACATCAGCAGTCGCATAAGCATGTGCTTTCCCGCTCCATTATCGGAGACTGGAGTCGTAGACAAGACATTTGTCGCTGAAGTCAAAGAAGTAGCATAAATTGATGCAGAGTCCACTGGCACAATTAAGTTCATTTTGAACAGCTCATTGTGGGATAAGTTCTATTAGTCAAACGACTGCGTTTGGTGAAGAGAAGAATTTGCATACAGTTAGGCAGCAAGTTGATACGCAGCATATATAGTCCCGGCGGGTTGCTAGTCATCCATTTGGAAATTGACCACTGAGAAAGCACCCCGCTCTATCTGCTGACATTCATTCTGCGAAATAAAATATATCTGTCTTTTGATTCACCGTTGTACATTTCACGGACGGCCGATGCGTATTTGCGACGCATCGTTAAAGAACAAACTGAGTTTAGATTTGTTAGACCAATAGGGTCATTCTCTGTCTATGACTGGTTAAAACGCCGGCACACGAGGGGTGCAAGTATATGATTGGTCACCAGACATTTGACCAAGTCATACAGCTGGTTTGACTCGTGGCTGTACGATATTAGGCAAATTATTCCTATTGCGCGTCATTTACTTATTCTTATCACGTTTCCAGTTGCCTCACGAATGCTATAATACCCTATGTCTATTCCGTGCATGAAATCTACATTTCTGCACAGATAGGTCACCACAGGATGTCTACGCTCAAAGCGATAAAGTTCCCGTGAAAACCAAGCCAACTTAGTTTGAAACAGTCTGTGGAGTGGCTTCAAACTCCGCACTCATTATTCGGCTCCCACATTTAATTTATATTCTGCATGTTGATACCGTGAAAAAAGTAGCTGACGTTTACAACAGGTTTGCTTAGCTTTACTTAAAAAGAACTGGTCATTTTTAACCGTGTCCTCCGAATGCTCTCTTCAGCCTGCCGATGTTTCCTATGTTTTAGCTGACATTATACCACAGTGACACTTTAAAACAGTCAAACAATATGCGACTCGCATCCTGAGTGAGGTCGCTTGACCTCTTCACTCTGAAATAATGGCTGCAAAGTCTTCCCGCATTATGCGCCAAAGCTTTTGCCATATGTCTAGCCGTACATCGGCATATCAGTACTCTGTTCTTCCATTCCTAGCACGCTATTTCACGTGTAGAGAAACGGGTATTGAGAAGTTAAAAGCAGAGCTGTCTTTATAACAGATATACTGAGTATTCTATGACCTTTTACCATGAACTCTTACCTTACCTTTTCCCTTGCTCTCCGTGAATGGGACCATTTTTTTCTGAAAAGTTCGGATATAACCTGTAAAACAAAGCATTCTCTCTCTCAACTCAGATCAGAGCACCATATACCCTTCAGACCTCAACCACGTCAAAAATAATGTAGATAATTCTGGCAACGCAGGCAAACACAATCAATGCAGTAGTAGGTTGTGATACAAGTGAGGAAAAGGCCAAAAAGAATTAAAAAAGTTGACAATGGCTGGTGATAAAGAAAACAAAGAATCTAAGATAAAAGAAGTCAGAATCTTGGCATTCTAAAATATTAAGTGGTTAATATGGGGCATATTTTGCATTTATTTGATGAACGCATTATCGTGAATGGAAGCAAATAACCGAAGTGAACATACAATCCAATTTTTATCGTGTCATTATTTGGAATTTCTGTAATTTTGTGACTACACAAATTCCTCAGCAGTACATGGATCAACTTACGAGGAGACACATATTTTCAATGCTTTCCTTTCGACCTTCTTTACTTAAATGAAAAAGACTTGCGTAGGAGGACAACTGACATACAAAGTAAAATAAGGCTGTGTGTAACTCCCAAATAGGAAGAGTCGGCTAGCCTTAGTTGGATGCGGTCCTATGTTTTACTGCTTCATGATTGTGTGCGGAATAAGGAGGGAAAGGATATGTCACACATGCATAAATCAAATCATACGTGGCATGTCACGTGTTTTCAAAAATGACATTGTTTCTCGGTGTTGCGTACTCTTCAATATATTCCTAAGGATGCGTCTACGAACTCTCAACAGAGACTTTTCGTGATTTATTTAAAGTTTAGTGTTAAATAGTTGTGGATCGGTGCTTCTCAGCATTTCAGTAGTCGAAACGTTCGAAAATACGAGTTTCTAGCAACAGATAAGAAAACGAAAACACACTAGTTCTATTGGTGGAGGTCTTTTTTACTAATAGTGTACTCTAGCATGAGTTAAACGCAACAGGTGCATAAAATACTATCTACGACGATGTCTTTTCGTTTATTTTATTTTAAATAAAATTTAGCAGCAGGAAACTCCTATCACTGACGTTCTTTTCCATTTTTTTTTTCGAATTGAAAGCTTGCCTTTAACTGGAATACGTCCTGTGCTTTGGAGCAATAACAAGATTAGTGAATATATTGCAGAGGAACAACAGACAGTAGTTTCTTCATCGAAAAGCTGTAAATCCTTTCAAAAACACTGCATATGTTACATTGCTGCTGCATAAACAGCGATCATATTACTGCCATTTATAACTCCATTAAAACATTTTTGAGGAGAATATGCCAACTCGGTCCGCTCAAGGTGAAGGAAAACATTTTTAGCTGCAATGCATTCTTCGCGCTCCAAAAAAGTTAGCGCGTTTATTCGTATACCGTGGGCGGTGCGGATGAATTGCAAACATCGAAGAGGCGGGAGTGTAACGCTGTTAACGCTTAATGTTTATGTAAATTTTCCGAACGAATTTAGGTCTTTCGCCGTCCAGGGTTTCCATGCTTGGATTGCGAACTCCA